GCGGCCATGTCTTTAGTGGTATCTATCTTGATCAAAGCAGAGAACCCACAGTTTATCCGTTACTGCAATCGCGCCATGACATATTGCTGCGCTTGCTTAGCGAGGCACTACCACGTCTCCTGAATAGCTCATTACAGCAATTAATTTTATGAAGCGTGACTGTGCGTGGATGTATCCGACTAATTACCGATTTGGTAAAAGATTCTGAAAAGTTAAGATTTTTTAGCTCCTTTTTTTGTTAAGTATAGGCGGTGATTTCTAATACTATTGATACGGTATTTCGTCATCAAAGACATGGCGGATCCTGAAAACTCGTCTGAAAAAGATCAAAGGTGCCGACGTTGCTTGTCTCTACTGTACGAGGGCAAGTCAATAAGTTTTTAGAAAAACATAGTAAAACACATTATTTTTGATCGATTCATTTTTATTTCTCAACATAGTCTCTTTTCAGCTCGATTCACTTGATCCAACGATTCTCCAACTTTTTCAAGCCGTTCGAATAGTATGATTTGTCCAACCCTTCAAAATAAGCCTCTGTTTCGGCGATGGGCTGCTCTCTGATGGTGAATCTCTTTCCTCCGAACCATTTCTTTAGGTTTGGAAACAGGAAATAGTCGCAGGAGGCTAAATCTGGCAAATGTGCTGGACGGGGAAGCAATTCGTAGCGGAATTCGTTGAATTTGGCCATCGGTGCCGGGCACGTGTGAACCCGTGCATTGTCTTGATGGAAGAGCACTTTCTTCTTCGTCAAATGGGGACGCTTTTTTTTTTAATATTGTTGAAACCAATAAGGCTGCGTAGGAATCGCCATTGATCGTTTGCTTCGACGGAAAGTAATTGATATGAATTATACCGCGTGCATCCCAAAAAAACTGTGATCATCACCTTTCCGGCCAACTTCACGGTCTTCGCCTTCTTCGAAGCTGATTCACTCGGTGAAATCCATTGTTTTGACTGTTCCTTCGTCTCGGATGTGAAGTAATGGATCCATGTTTCGTTTACAGTAATGAATCGACGCAGAAATTCATCTGGATTACGTTGAAACATCTCCAAACATTGTTTTGAAATCGTCACACAGTTGCGTTTATGGTCCACAGTGAGCAAACGCGGCACCCATCTTGCCGATAGCTTTTTCATACCCAATCGTTCGTGCAAAATTAAAATCACTGTGCCATGTAATATGCCTGTGGCCTCAACAAGCGCGCGCACTTTCACTCGTCGATCAGTCAAAATAATATCGTGGACTTTATCGATGATTTTTGGCGTAGCAGCCTCAATTGGATGTCCCGAAAGAGGTGCGTCACATGTGGATCTACGACCACGTTTAAATTTATTCACCCAATTGTATACAATCCCAAACTTTGGTATAGATGTGCTACGAACATTATTCAACTCGGCTTTGATTTCTTTCGGCGTTAAACCTTTCATATATAGATGTTTGATCACTGCACGAAACTTGTTTTTTCCCATTTTGCAAAAAATACATGTTGTTCGCTTTAATCGTCTACAGAAATGAAACCACGTAATGAATTCCACTCAAAATTTGACAGTAATCAGCTGAAAGATGCTATTTGTCAAAAAGTAATGTAACATGACACTGCGGGTGCCCTCTGAGATTTTCTAAGAATTTATTGACTTGCCCTCATATATCCTTATACTGTGTTATGGCTTTACGGACTCTTGTAATTGGTGAATTCGCTTACTGCTTATGCTTTACCGCTTAAGTTCTTTTGTATGCGGCAGCCCTAACAATCAAACCTGCTTAATCATTTGCACTTCATTTTTTTCTCGTCACAAAAAGAAGCAATTTTTGTATCAAATAGCAATCGGCGATGAAAAAATAGATTTACTGATGATAATCCTAAGCGTAAAAAATGGATAAGTTCAACCGTCGACATCGACTCCAAAACGCAACATTAACGGAAATAAGTTTTTGTTGTGTATTTGGTGAGACATGAAAGTTGTTTTTTTTTTTTATGAGCTGCTAAAACCAAATCAAACAATCACTGCTGAGCGTTATCAACAACAATTAATCGATTTTAATCGTGTTTTGAACCAGAAATGTTCAATAAGCTTAAAAAAAACGCAAAGTGATTTTGTTACACAAATAATGCTCGACCAAACGTTACAAAAACAGTTAAAAATACATTAACAATATTTCAATGAGAAATCTTATCACATACCACGTATGTACTAAACTATGTTCTTACGGATTATTTCGATCGATATAGCATGGCCTTGCTAACGATGGAAAACATCTTAAATAAAATATAATTTAACATCTCTCTAAAATAAACATGTTTTTTTTTGGCAAAAAATTCCTCAAAACTAATCGGAACACAATAAATATTACAACGACAAAAATAAATAAAATCCATTTTTTTTACTTAAAATCATCAAAATACCGGTTACAATTAAAGGGTAACGATTGCTTATGGAATTTTCTTTTTCTGTTTATATTTTGTATACTTAAATGAATATAAATACTCGTTAAATAATCATAATTTTTTTATGAATAAATATTTTTAAAAACCTAAAATTTTGACTGAACATGATTACATTTTTTTTTAACGAAAATGTTGAATAAATACAATTTACAGCTCAATTACAAATTTTTGTATTCATCGGGTACACTAGTCAATCGCAACATAATCAAACAGGATGGTCTTAACGTAAATCGATCTTTTTCTTTGATGGTTGTAATAATATTTACGATATTACTCATGTTGTTTTGTTATAACAGAAAAGGTACTGAAAAATAACTAAAAAGTTAAAGTATCAGGCTACTCCTTGTCCTAATGAAGTGGACTGTAAGATTCATGAAACATTGGCATTCCAAGAATGAATCTGGACACGCAGGAAACCCGCGAAACGCATAATCTTTATATAAAAAGTTACTTTTTAAATAACTGTAACAGGTTATTTTTTAAAATCAATAATTAATTACTTTTTAAAAGAAAAAAAAACGATAATTGTAACTAATACTTTTACAGAGTAACTATTCCAATCTTGATATAATAAAAAGATGCCGCAGACATTACTTCACAAATAATTTCTTTCTAGCATACAGAATACATAATTGTAAAGAACACTTCATTTAGTGACTAATATTGCAATAATTAGTAGTTTCTTGCAATATCTGTTTAGATGCAAGAAATGATTAATCTGCTGGGTTAACTTTTTTAAAAGTTGAAGTACTAATTGATAACATTACGCAAGTATAAAAATATTAAGATAAATAAAACAATCTTTTACATGTAAATATGAGTAAATTTTAGTATACACATATAGTACTTACAGAAATATTTAAAGGTCAAGAAAAAAGAAATTAATAAGATATTCTCTAAAATAAAATTTCATTTATACGCCAAACGTACATTCATACTACTGAAATAAATATTCATTACATAATATTCGTAACATGTATGATACTCTTAAATTAAATAGAATTACAAATGATTACATTATTAATATTTGTTAATTAAATTAAAATTTATTTTTTACTTATACGAATTAGTAATTAAAATTTCCCATTATGATAATCTATAAATGGTAATAGAAACTGTATATTCCATTTTTTTTTTGTCACAAATCATCACGAAAATAATATTTATTTATTTCAGACAAAAAAGAAAATTCCTATAGCTAGATCTTCTAGATCTTGTAAGAAAAATCTTTAACTCAAAACTTCAATAACAGCCTTATGTACAATATTAAAATAGAATTCCATGTCTCATCGTATGATATAGCTCGTGATCTGTTTTGGCTCACTTAGGCTCATTACAGAATCAGTCTCGAAATTGATATAAAAAAAGCTAAAATTGTAGTCCTATGGCGGTCCTACGGCGATCTTACGGAGCGCTGAATCAGGCTATCATATAACTAGCCATGGCTCCGCGCAGCGAGCCTTATCGTAGAAACAGGGTGCCTCGCTATTGCTCGCCATAGCTCGCGACTCATGGATTATCGATTTGCCGAACTGGGCGATCTGTCGATAAATTATGCGAGTCCAAAGGGTCGCCAGGGCTCGCGCCTTGACTAAACGAAATAAGTATAACTGCTGTGCGTCGTTGCACCACCCAATTTCTTTATACTTGCATGTAAATACGTCAGAGCTTGTTTATTATTGTTGGTTGAGACACTTATTAAGTTAAGATTTTTTGATCGTTCAAGTCGTAGTATGAAGTAGGACTACGAGATGAAAAAAATTATCGAATCTATAATATAATTATGTGAAAAAATTTATATAAAATAACTTTTTGCAAGCATTGATCACGTTCAGCCAAATATTTGTTGGAAGTTTCTTTCGCGCTGTGTGTGATAGAATTATACTTTAGATCTTTTGTAGTCTTATATCAGCAAAGAAAATTTTCAATATTTGCAAAATAAGCATTCTATTGAACGCGATCATTGACGAGCCCAATAGCATAAGATGTCTTGTCGGCTTGTCTATCACAAAGGCTTCTTTGACTCGCAAAACTTACCGCCATCTTCGAAAACGACGTGTCACGAGCCACGAATCGCGAGCGATAATAAATCCTGATCCCACGACGCGTAGAGGCTTTCCAAGCCATGGTGAGCCATGGCGAACAATGCCGAGTCATGCCGAGCTACTGGTAGGACCCTTCCTTTGGAATAATCATTTTAATAATAAATACAAATTAAAATAGTTTTCTTTAAACTTATAAAAAAAAACTTTAATTATTACTTCATCAAAAAACGAAAATTTTACCTGAGTGACGTCACAATGCTACAGCAAATTGATCTTTGGTTTAAAACCCGTATCAGACTAGAGATTGAAATTGGATTGAAAGTTGATCAATCAAAGCAAAGATTACTGAAACTTGAAATTAATTTTCTTTTTCTAATACATTCCAATCTAATTTTAATCTCTAATTTAATACGAGCATAAGTCTCTTATTTTAGATTTGAGTTAATGCAAAATGCAAAAATTCAAATATAATTGCTATAAGTCAAACATACGACAGATCATTGGTTACTGTAAAAGCTCTAAATTTCGTATAAATATACGTATAAAGAAAATATTTTGAAAAATTTTCACATACTTAATTATGGACAATTTGTTTTGAATCCATTCAAAATGAATTGTCCATAGCTAAATTAGCTGATGAATTCTTACTATCGGGAGATTGCATTGCAATGTAACGCCTTCGTAAAATTTCCTGCAAATCATTGCATGGACTATTCTCACGTTTCACCCGCATAGGATGGCCGCCTGGAGACCTATAAAAGATCAATACAATCTTATTTTATTTTCTGAGAGCACTCAGTTCTTGTATCACTATTAAATGTTGAATTATAGTTTTACAAACAAGAAATTATGTTTTCTAACACTATATGTGAATACAAAATAATAATTTTTTTATATATATTCACATTCAATAAATGTGAATTAAAAAATATAAGGTGTACAAAAAATCCCGGACCTCTTATCTTGATAATTGAAATATCTTGAAAAATAAGCATTTCTGAGAAAAATGTTTCATACAAAAGTTGTAGAGTTTAAAATGATCAATTTAAATAATCTTATCAATTTAATCTTGGATCTATCAAGAACAGGTCAAGGTCAAATCGATTTTTTTAAATGGAACATCTTACTTTTTATTTTAGAATCTAACAGCTGGTGTCAAGAACTTTTGAAAACACTATAATAAAAAAACAATACTTTTTTTAATTAGTACTTTTCGAGTTACGAGATTTGGAAATTCCAATACCGTCGGTATTAACATTACCTAACGTGTATTGCATAGAGGTTGCCCGGTCGAATTTATAAGTCGTGTGTATTTGCGCGCATGTTGTGTGTATCTCTTTCTTCTCCTTCCTTCTCTTTTCCTCCCCCTTCCCCCTCTACACACAGTTATTTTTGATTGTAAAATATTTACTCAAAATACTAATGCTGAACAAGAGCGTATATCCCTTTTAATGATGCGAGATTGGGGTGAGATCTTACACATAAGTGACTACTTGTCAATAAAAAGATAGGAGCACTCTAACCATTAATATCTTTTTCCCAAATATCCCATCTCTCATCACAGATTAAGTTTTCGAAAAAAAAAAAAAAAAAAAACATTTTATACTTAAATATTAATTGTTATCTACAAAAATTTTGATTAAGACGAGAATTACAAGGATTTAAAACTAAGGTTGTCACAAATTCCTCATCCTAAAAATCCATAACTTTTCTCTAATTTCCAGACAAAATTTCATGATTTTCTTTCATGCTTTTAATTTTTTTTTAAATTTTTTTGTATTTTCGTCCTGATTTGCAAACCATCAAATATTTTGTTGAGATTAATGTAATTACGCTATGCTAACATCGCCTGCATTTTATTATTAAGTTAGTAGTATTCCAAAATTGCGTAGATATGATGTACAATATATTAAACTTCTTTAAAGTCAAGAATTTTCATTTTCCAGAAAATTTTACAAAATTCTTTGATTTTCCTGACTGTTTACAATTTTCCTGACATTTCCCTGTTTTCTTGTTTCTAATTTTGTAGCAACCTTAGAAACAGAAAAGCGCATAGATTTGCTGGGACTTAATGAATTAATCAAGATTTACAATTATTTATTAATCGGTGAATTAAAAAGGACCTCACAACTATATTGTAAATCTATTCTAATGCAAATTACAATGTATTAAAAAAGTGTCTTCAATTTTTGTTTACTACAAAATTTACCTATATAATTAATCTATGATGAAAGTTTAGATGAAAGTTTTTACCAGAAATTTTATATACAAATATTAATCTCAACTACCTTGCAACTGGTCTTAATTTTACATTATCGATATCCTTCAGCATATCACCCGTCGATTTCTCTACACTCAATAGAATTTTCTTGCGATCTTCAATTTTGTGATCTTGCAAACTAGCCCTTCTCGCGATATGGGGTGTTGTGGGTGGTAAAAATGGAAGTGGAAGTGGTGGTGGAGGTGGAGGAGGTGGTGGTGGCACTGACAAAGACTTTAGATTATCTTCTCCATTGGGCAGAGACGCTACAGATGCATCTATAAGACAAACATGAATCTTTAAATCTTTTCTTGATATTTTTGAGTATAACAAAATATACTTCTTACATACATTTGGACAATTTATTATTTTTCACAATTGTTGAAATTTGTTCCCTAAGCTCTTGTAATTCTTGCTCTAACGCGAGCAATCGTACTTCTGATCCAAAACTAATCGGCTCGAACAGATCTGATCTGTTGTCAAAAAAATTGTTAGTGTAACAAACTCAATTTTAAAAATATTATAGAATAAAAAAATATGGACATATTTAATCACAGTACTGGATAAAATAAATCATACACCTTTAAAGAAATTGAATTTGTTCGTGTAACTATTTTTTTAACAAGCAAATAAATTATTGGATACAAGAAAATCAAAGCATTTGAAAGTATTTAAATAAAGAAAATGTGAAATAATTAAAATTGTACTCAATTCCTTTGTAAAAAATTTATTTTTCAATATTGATACATTTTACCCTGGACAAAATAAATCATACACTTTTAGAAATAATAAGTAACAAACAAATAAAATTAATTTTAATGGTGCTTGGTACTTGGTGTGCCCGCCCTTTGCTTTTAATACTGCTTCCAGTCGATACCAGACCAGGCGAAGCATTCCCATATCATGATATTATCTCCATGTTTTATAGTCTTTTGAATATTTACTTCTTTGAGAGCTTCACCAGTTTTTCGACATATCTTAAACCATCGTTTTTGTCCGAATAATTCAAATATGCTCTCATCCGACCATAATACTTTTTTTCAAAAATCTAGAGGCATATTCACGTATTTTTTTGGCAAATTCGAATCTTTTTTTCTTATTTATTTTATTGATGAGGTGGTAATATCATGATATGGGGGTGCTTCGCTTGGTCTGGTGTCGGTAATTTGACTCAAATTAAAGGAATTATGATGGCAAAAGGATACATTGATGTACTGTGCAAGAATTTAGAAGAATTTCTTTTGGAAATTATATTTAGAAAATAACTTTATCTTCCAACAAGATAACGATCCGAAGCATAAGGCAAAAAAACCACTGCCTTTTTCAAATCTAATAAAATAAAACTGCTCGAATGGCCGCCACAATCACCAGATTTGAACCCAACTGAAAATCTGTGAACTTATTTAGATGAAAACGTGAATAAAACAAACGTAACTGACAAGATATCGTATTATACAGCACTCCAGAAGGCCTGGAATAAAATTGATCCTGAGCATTTGAAGAAATTAGTCGAAAGTGTACCTCGTCGACTGGAAGCAGTATTAAAAGGCGGGCACACTAAGTACCAAGCACCATTAAAATTAATTTTATTTGTTTGTTACTTATTATTTCTAAAAGTGTATGATTTATTTTGTCCAGGGTAAAATGTATCAATATTAAAAAATAAATTTTTTACAAAAGAATTGAGCACAATTTTAATTATTTCACATTTTCTTTATTTAAATACTTTCAAATGCTTTGATTTTCTTGTATACAATCATTTACTTGCTTGTTAAAAAAATAGTACACAAACAAATTCAATTTCTTTAAAGGTGTATGATTTATTTTGTTCAGTACTGTATACAGAGTATCTCAAAACCACCGTATAATATTTTTATAGCGTATTTTAGAGGTAGAGTAAAAAATCCTAATACGAAAATGTCGAGGGTACAATAGTTTCTAAATTATAACCGATTATATAAAAATAGCCAGTAGGATCGTATAAAATCCGAGCACTTATATTGATGTGCTTGTAGTTACGCGCACATCGATCTGATACTACATTCACAGTTAATATTAAATTTTTTTTATCACTCTAATTATATATATAT